ACTATATTTAACATTTATAATTTCTTTTTTCATCATCATTACCTATTATAATTTATTCTTGACTTTAATTTGATATTTAATTTATGTTTACATTGTCTACTACTTGGCTTCCTGTGATATTAAAACATATTGTAATTGTACAACTTTTAAGCTTCCTTTGCTAGAACTTATTATAATAAAAGGATTGAGATATAGTCACCGTTAATCTGTCCCTAGTCAATTTTGTATTTTTTTTTTTTTTTAAATAGGATTTTTACCACTAAAATATGGTAACTACTGTACTAAATACATACAATCCTCATTTTTATCGCAATAAATGCTCAGTACCTCCCCAAATATGATTTTAAACCACATGCGATTTTTTTGTAAGCTTTGTAGACATGTTGAACATTCTTATCAGCTTGGGTAAAACATCATTCATCATAGTCACAACTGTTTGTCACATAAATAGGCAACTTATTTTATATAAAAGAATGGAGGAGAAACATTTTTATTTATTTATTTGGCCTTTTTGGTAGTTGGTAGATTTTCAGTTTTGTTTCTTGTATTGTATTCAAACAACTTTTCACATGTTGTTTATGAATATGTTCCTGAAATGCATCAACAAGTAGTATAAAACTGCAATAACCTTTGAACTTAAATTGTGCTGCAGGGAGTATAATGTATTGTCCATTGAAATAACTTACTATAGTTAGATTGTGATACACAAAGAGTAAACAATAGACAACAAAAGGCTAAGACCCATCCTGTAGTTGTTACTGAGGAATTGTATCAACAACTCACATCCTGAATTGTAATCGCTACACTTGTACTCTACTGGTAACAATAAAATTACAGAAATTGGTTGTATAGTACAGTAAAAAAAATCAATAAATCCTGTTAAAGCTTTACCTTCTGTGTTATTGATTTGAAGTGTTTATGTCTGGAGTAGCTTGGATAATCTCAGTACCAACATTTGACATTTTTGCATTTGACATTTAACCTGCCATTGTCCTTCGTATAAATTGTTACAGTAGCTCTCTGTGAAATACATGAAATATTTAAGCATAGTATTTTTTCATATTAATGGTTATACCTTACAACTGAATTAATGAAAATGTTTCAATTTGAAAAACATACAATGGAACTTCCCGGAGCGTAAGTCAAACTGACCAATCAGAACATAATCGGAATACTTGTTCCTCCCACAGAGACATGTGCGTATATACATTGACATCTATATCGTTCTGTGTTGCCTTAGCTACAATATCAAGTGTCCGGACTTAGCGGAAAATCCATTGTCATACACATTTTGTCAATCAATTAAAAAATTATTAAAAGAATGAAAAAATACCTTGCAGCTCTTTTTGTGTTTTTATTTACTTGTTTAGGTGATAATGGTAATTAGCAAAATGGTTGTTCCAAAGGAATTTAATGTGGAAGAAAAAATAATGTCTTGGATGTATAAAAAAAGTTTGAAAAAAAGATCCTATAAGTATGGTCGTAAAGAGTGCAGTGTTGTGAGGCATTAATTGGATTGAAAATATTATTTTGAGGGAGAAATCTTTTTTTCTTTTTTTTGTAGGACTATTTAATCCCTAATAAACCAAGCACAATGGATGTTAACTTACAGTAAGCAAATCAGATGAAACTATTCTAATATTTTTTTTTAGGTGACATAACATACCTGTCTTTCCAGAAATTATCTTTATTTGATGGTTATGCCGCACACACTAATGTAGAATAGAATTTCTTAAGAAATTATTACTAGTAGGTAGCGGGTTCGAGAAACAAAGTGTGAAAAGTCTTGTCTTACAGTATGGTCGTATGTATAGTATCACAATTTAAATAAGTTATGAGGTGGTCAGGCTTGTAGTAAGATATGAAATTAATACTTTGAAAATATATAATTTTTTTTCAAGGTGAAAGAAATTGAATCATTTTATTAGAATTACGAAAAAAAAATCACATGATTGATCACATGACTAGTTCTTTCTTATTCATGTCACATGACTAGGTCTCAGGGATGAGTATTACCTGATTATTTTATTAGGCAAATTGCTCATTTATTACTATACTAGTTAGTAATGTAGCATACTAATATTATAATTTGAATCGTCACGGTTGGTTGAGGACGTCAATAGAGCATAATGCATTGTTATTCCACTTTGCTAATTTCATTGTTATTTTTATTATCAATCAGAGAATTGATATTCTTCGTATTTGATATTTCTTATAGCATGAAGAAAATAAAACTACTTCCTAATTCTGTCATAATTCAAAGGGCACACACTTTTTTTTTTTAATAAGAACACTGAGGCTGAAATTGCTTAAAAATTCACAACAAAATAACAACAAATTGAGGCTGAGGTAAAATGTCAATGAGATTTTTATTTAAAAAACTAGAAAAACCAAAAAATGATATGTGTACCTTATGTGCAGCAGGTGTGACTATATAATGCCCTCAATAATGCAGTACAGTAGGTTTACCTACCTGTCATTTGAGACCATTTACGGGAGCCTTTTTCAGGGGCCATTTTTTCAGGGCCACTTTTACCTACATTCCAGTACAGTGTATACTGGTAAAATAATAACTTTCTATGTTTGAAAAGTGTGTAACGCAAGAACAAAATAAGAATATTTTGAGCTTGAAATCGGCCAAAAAATAAGAACACTGATTTTTACTGGTAACTTACATACTGTAGTTCTGTCTTGTTGCTTCAGAAGTTTAATATTTTTATATTATTAATTCCTATAACTTACAGTTTTCTAATTATAATTGATTAATATCATGTTCATTTATAATCATTGCGTATTACGGAACACCTCCTAGTAGGAAAATCCAAGGGTGTTTACCACTTGGCCTCAAAGCTCTGTTGGTAGAGTATTCGAAAGGTAATTGGAAGGTCTTGGATTGAAATCCAGATCGGGACAATAAGTTTTTCTAAAATAAAATTATCAGTTTTCTAGCTGAATAAAAATAATGATAATAAATGAGCACTTAATATAGCACTGGTATCTGTCTTGTAATGCTCATGTCACTTCAAATCCGCCTACTAAACATTTTCCATGTGGAAATAATGAACAAACATTAATTTAATATGAATATAAATCTACGTTCACATCAAACCAGGATTCGGTCCGGTTTTTTGAACATTGCATTCACATCATACTCAGAAAGCGTTTAGGTCATTCAGGCTTGTTGCAGATTGGTCTAACAAAAAACAAGAAAACATACACGATACAAATGGCTCTCAGATCCATCTCCCTGGATCCGGAGTCCGGACGAAAATCGTATGATTTTGATTTGAACGGTCTTATTCTTTATGATGATTTTTTTGTCCAGGCACCGGACTGGATCTGGTCTTTGGTATGAACGTAGCTAAAGTCAACATTTAATATTGAAAAATATTGTAATTTTGTATGTTTTTTTTCCAGTAATTCTGAATTCATCTTTTGAAAATGTAAACACGATGATTTGCTACAATTATAATTTGATGATTGATCATTAATGTTACTGAGTATGAACTAGTGGGATTTGTGACCATGCATGCTGTTTGAGGTTATTAATTGTCATTTAATAATAATATTACAGGATGCCTTGACTGTTATGTCATTGTTCCTAGATAATCATTAGTATTGACCAACACTGACTACTACTAATTAATTCAATGTTTACATATTGGTGGCTTATCTAGTGATAAGGTAAATTACCTAATATTGATAATTGGATGTGCTGTTTATTTCTGTAGAATAACAAGGATAAATCACCAGCTAGGTTTAGACAAACCATTTAAGGTTAATTTGGTTGAATTAATTAGTATTGTTTGTTATAATGTGGACTGACCTTGGAATTAGTTAGTTTCAAATTTACTCCGGTCGGTCGTACAGTATCATGTTATACGTCACGTATATAGATTATTATTTTTATTACAGTACTCTTAGTCAGATTTGGTCTTTGGAATTATTTTAATGATTTTCATGAATTTGTAATTATGCACAGTAAAGGTTGATGCACTGTAATGCAACCTATATTTTTCTCCTGTATAAATATAGTATATATTAAATATATAAATTATAGTCTATTATAATTATTAGTCTATTTTTTTGAATTAGTTTTTGATGAAAGAAATGCTACCACTAAAATATGAAACTTTTTTTAAACTAGAGTATTTAGAACTACGTATTATGTGATATTCATAATTAATTATTCACTTTAGCTCACATATTGTGCTGTGACTCATCCAGACTTTATACATCGATATAAAACTGTAGGGTTTGGCTCTGATCCCAAGTTATCCACCAGTGAAAACGCATGGCGGAGGACAAGGTGTCATCCATCAGCTTAATTGTATAGACCAGTTGGCCTTGACTTATTATGCAATCTGTCCTTATTTACACTAACACTGAAAGATACGGTTTTGTATGCTTTCATTGTGTGTGATTATGCTAGACTTTTTCAGGTTGACATCACTCTGTTTTGGTACAAGTTGTTTCATATTAGTATATGTATGAGTCCACTTGGCATAGCACTGGTGTGACACTAAGGTTACATTTATCAGTTCGGTCAGCATGATTTAACATCAGAAGGCTGGGTATTGTTCCACTTGGCTCAACAATTCTGGTGTGTCACCAGCACGCTGGGTAGTGGTAAGCTTTGTTTACCGCCGTTATACCGGCAGGTAAAATATAGGTCCACTTGGTCTAGCACTGGTGTGACACTGGCAGGGTGTTGTTCCGCTGGGCCTAGCACTTCTGGTGTGTCACCAGCATGTTGGGTAGTGGTCCGCTTGTTTTACCACCGGTGTTATGCCAGCAGGTTGAGTATTAGTCAACTGAGACTACCACTGGTGTGATACTGATAGAATTGTCTATCCGTCCTCTTTGGCTATCACTGTGACTGGTATCTGAAAATAAATTTTTTAATTATGATACTAAATTTCCGAATTTCTTTTTGACAATACTTAGCATTTCTGTTTTATATTTTTGAAATTATAATATTTTCCTTTTGTCTTTTCTAGGTTGCAATAAAGATAATTGACAAAAGTCAACTAAACCCAAGTAGTCTACAGAAGGTGAGCACAGTAACTTCTTATTATGTTAACATTGACCTTATAGTATAATAATTTCAAACACAGAAGCTGGCTAAGCGTGTGTTACCAGTATTGGCATTGTTTTCAATTCCATTGTTTTCTATAATATGCCTACTCATTTGACACGCTACGCTGACCTACTGGCCCACATATTCAAATCATTATGACGTGTGTACTCACCCATGCATAGCCCTACCAACCCCACGCTAGCCGAACAATTACTTACCTAAGCCCTAAAGCACATCAGACTATTCACTTCTCTCCCAACGTAAGCAGGCACGTTTACCACATCTACAACAATTTTTTAATATGGTCATGAGACATTTGCATACTGTAATTATATCTAGTGTACTGTAGGTCTATATTCAAAACACAAAAAGTAAAGTATACTTCAAAAAGACTCATTGGTAAAGGTGAAACAGGTTGTTGAGGACAGTGGATGATTTTTGTGTGTCTGGCTTTTAAATGTTTATTAAAATCTTATTTACCTTAATTTAAAATTGTGTTTAATCATACAAAGTTAATGGCTTAATTTCAGAAGTAAATTTGTGTGTTATGAAAGATCTGCACATACGGCGAACATGATTTAAAAATTAAAAAAAAGTTGTATGTGTTGCACGAAGACGACCCCCTGGTTTTCGATCATAATTTGCTATTTAAAACCTTGTTTTATATGCGAGAGTATACGGTACTTGATGGTTGTCTTACTTACTCGATTTTTCTCAAATGATATGGCGATTTACTGAATGCTATCAAATATTTCGGACATTGTGTGATCAGGAGATGTTTAAAGTGACTAATGCAAGGGTCTAGTTGTAAAAGCATGGATTATTTCTTGAGTATACCATAACTTGTGTACATTAATAATCAGCGCTCTCAATGTAGCGTAGACCAAACCTAGGGTGAAGCGGAAGAAATCTTCGGTGAGAGTTTTCTATTTTCTGGGCCTAGTAATTACTCAGTAGTTGATGTAATCACCAATATCAATAATGATTGAAAATAACAAATATTAAGGGCCAACTCAGACAGCATTGTACAACGCAGCCTGCCGCAACTTAGGTTGTCATGAGAGAATGTTTTACATTTTAAAGCGTGACTGTGTCCCAATGCATAGGCCTACCTATTGTGTTTGTGTTTAACTCAGATAGACCCGATGTGACTATAAATTGCATTGGGCTACATTGTACCACTGTCTGAATTGGCCTTTACATGATATTTAAGAAAAAATTCTTTATATGGTCTTTGTCTTTAATTGCAAATTTGGGCTGGGCCACTGGAGAATCGCAGTAGCCACAGTCCAGCGCCATCTTACTTAACTAAATAATGGACACATACGGATAAATGTTGCTCTACATAAAGGTATAAATGGAATGGAAAAATATCTTGTCATATGACTAGACATGATCTATTGACCCTCGGAGGAAAGAATCTTAACCACCATTATAGCTCCATGGACTAATTAGAAATCCTGCTTCTCGGCATTTCAGATTGTGTTCTCTTTGTCTTCCTCACTTTTAATACAACTTATTATTGTCTTTAAAAAGGTCAACTAGCTGTATTCAATTGTAAAATTCATTTCCCTTTCAAAACTAAAAATATCCAATTCAGAAGTAACCATACAATGATCATTTTTGATTATGAGTTCTACTGTCTTGTTTTGTTACAGAAATAATATTGAGAAAAAGCATGGAATAATAATTATTTAGTTGCTCTTAAGATAGTGATCTTGATTTTACAAACAATGATTGAGGTTAGGTCAGCTGTCAGAAATAGTTCATTCTAGTTTTTAGTAATTAGTGTTCAGCATTAAAGTAGCTGTAATTTTTTTGACTTCATAATGTTCAAAACAATAATTTATTCTGGAGTCTATAATTTAAGTATTAAAATTATTTTAATTATTTCATATTTGTTTTACTATTTTGTCATTTAAATCAATATTTTAATACGTTTATTTTTATTTTGTCCCAAATCTTTGATCATATTTTTAAAATTTATTTTGTTTTCAATTTTTACTTATAAAATACAGTTACAGAGAACACATTAAACAATTAAATTTTAATATTTGGGAAGATTTCTTATATAATTATAACAAAAAGTATTCCATAAAGGGGAAGATGATAATAGTAGTGAGGAGTATGCACAAGAAATGAATAGGATATGTTAAGAGGAAAGACGCTCTATTTGGGAAAAACAACAGTTTTGAATTTAGAAAAGTGATGATAAAAATAAGCAATATTGCTAGACGACATGAAAGAAAAGAATTAGTTTTATGAAAGAGCATCTTGTAGAAAAATTATCATACGTTTGAACAAACCAGTATTGTTAAATAAATATGAAAAACCTTTCCTCCTATTTTATAAAAATAGGAAAATAGGCCTACAGTATACATAGACAGATTATCTATATTAATTCTGCTAATCGCCACCGTGTAATTTCCCCATTTCCTCTGAAACCGCTGGCAAGAATGTGCTCATATCTCATACACTGGGGCTTCTATATATGTCACGACCACATTCTGCTACTTTTTAAGGCTGGATATTGGATAACAACGAAAAAACCGCCAAAAACCACCGAAAATCAGTACCTGTTTCGCAAGTTGCTTACGTAAATACAATTAATCACATCTATTCTGTACTGCAATGCTTAGGTCTAAAAATTATTAAGTTAGGCTGTAAAAGAACCAGTCTATAGCCTGGTTCTCACGAGAGCCCTAGTATCCGGATCAAGAGCTAACCGTTAGCGGTTTCCGGATACCGCTAACGGTTAGCAAGTGCTATCGGTTAGCACGTTGAGCGCATTTCTATCATCAACCAATCACATGTATACGTTTACAATTTCCAGTTTCTTATTGACCAGTTATTCGATCATCATATTCTTGATATCCGGATCGGGATCTACTCGTATGGACACACGCAGCTAACGGTTAGCAGGATCGGATCCTGCTAACCGTTACCCGGATCCTGCTAACCATTAGCAGCCGTGTGAGGACATAGCCTATGTTTCGCAGCTTCATTACGTCACCGCCCAGCACACTTCACGTTCCGTCAACAAAATGGGTGAGAATCGTGTTCCCGTACCTCTTTGGAGTACCCATTGCATTATACTGGATATGTTGGAGTTTTATGGCACAAAACATCAGCAATAAATGGCATGTTTTAGACGTCGATCAGGTACAAATAAAGTATACCTGGGCACAAGCCATGATATAACCTCGGCCTAACCATACTGGCTAGCCCTACACAGGCCTATAGGCACAGCCCTAGGCTCTGGCCCAGGCTTAGGCTCTAGTCTGGGTACGGCCTACCCTAGCCTATGATGTTGATCACAGATAGGCCTAGACCTAGGGGCCTAGGCTCAGGTGTAGTTAGCGTACCTAGGGCCTATCCTCTATCTCTCAAATCCAGGTTGATTTTAGTAGTGCGTTAATAAGATAGATAGGGTCAAGCCAGCTCTACCAATCAATACCTTGAATTTACGTAAACACGTTGGGACAATGTTCTTTTGAATGTCAGTAGTTCAGATAAGCCTTACATGTATCCACCTTGATTCAAGACAAACACTTCTCATGCCCAACTAGGGTAGGCCTGTCAGGAAAAAATTTGGTCCGGGGCAAAAATCGATCCGCCGGACCGATTTTGGCTTTAAAATTACCTACCAAATATATGCCGAAAAGGATGCACGCTCTGTGTATCGCCTAGGCCTAGGAAATGCATTATCTGGTGGTTTGACGAAACACTTCCTCAAAAGCTTAGCAAATCATTCTGTTACCACAAAAGAGTTAAGCAAGTGTGAGAGAAGCATTACTTTCCTCCACTCCACGGGAGAAACAATCATACCCTACGAGCAGCAGACGAGTAACAAATGAAGTGGCCAGGCTGACGCAGACCAATTTTATCCAAGCGGGACCGGTTTTAGCAGCTAAAATATATTCGGAGGACCGATTTTAGTAGTCCGGCGGACCGATTTTAGCGGCCAAAATCTGTACACCGGGCATTTTTTGGCCCGGAACAATTTTGGCGTGACAGGACTACTGTATGTTTCTGTACTTTCACTTACAGTACCAGAGGATAGCCCAAAGCAACGGGAAGTTCCAGTAAGGGGAGAGGGACATCACTGGGAAGGGCTCCTGCCCCATTTTGCCACTAATTTTTTTCTTATTTCAATGCAATGTATGTGCTATTCGCTTATTCAATTATTCTGAAACTGTTGTGTCCCCCTCCCCCATTTTGGATCCACCCTTGATCACACTGTACAATACTCAAAGTATTAACTACAAAGACGTCCTTCAGAAAAATAATGAGATGGTAACCATAACATCCACAACGATTGCCTCCAACTTCTCCATTCAACAGTATACATGATCGCCACCTTTCCCGACTCATTCGACACTGCGGACCACGGGTATGATACTAGTTCTAATAAATGTTCCAAAGCTGGTTAGTTCACAGAACCAACTACAGTGTGTATGTACCTAATATTTATGCCATTAAGTTTAAAAGCAAATAGTATTCTGATAGAACAAGAGAGCCCACTATGCTCGAGAGTGTAATCGACTGATACGCTCTTTACGCAGGTATTGGAGGACGTCCGACTGCCGTTTTTATGCTTTTAATATCATTAACCAGTACTACACTGTGCACGTTTTGTTTATCAGTTTTTTACATGATACAGTATTTTTGTAGAGGGGTGTAGATTTACTTTTTTTTTTATCTAATGTTTCATTAAAATAATACTCATTGAAGCAGGCGCACTTCCTGTAAACTCATACATGGTGGGCGCACTTCACCTAAAAGGGAGTGACGTATTTACAAACGCGACTATGCTCTCTTGTTCTGTCTATACTGTTGGCTAAATGTAGTACTAATAATTCCTAAAATTTTAAGACTTTTATGAGGATGATGTAAAACATAAATGACTAGCATTGTTTATGTAGATGGCTGTGTGGTGAAAATGTTGTAAATATTTATGAGTGAAGCCATTCC